GCAACAAAACAACAACACCAGAATGCTCTTTTCCAGTCATCCTGAAGTTTTCACCAGGTATCAAGTAATGAAAAATAAAGTTGTTTCCAGAAAAGCTGGTATTTAAAGAGGATGGAACAGCTACTTATTTTCCCACAAGCAGTCATATGAACTGCATACTCAGTGTAGAGGTACAAGCCATTTGGAAAAGCATTTCCTAACCTGCAGCTCCTGCTGGTCTCAGGGAATCAGTTTTGAAAGAACTTTTCTAGCCTCCCAAATGGGAAAAACTTTGGAGGGATTCCATGTGTTAAATGAGGCTGTCCTTTGAGATTCTGATTGTAGCTACAAGGTGCTCTTCTTACTGAAGTTAGAACTACTTAGTACTTCTGCACTTAATTCTTTCTGTGGACAGCCAGATATTCAGTTGTAGATAAAGATTTTGAAAAAAACCTGGTTTTTTTTTTTTTCCTTATTAGGAAAAAATAAATTTTTAGTAGGGAAAATACTTTTCCACTTTCTGAATTTGCCCCTTCCTCTATAGCTTTTTGAAAGCTTCTTATCTGGTACTCTCTTTGGTATTTCAGACCTGAGTCTGAAATACACAATATTTGGTTAAATAGATGCTTTGATGTCTCCACTATCTGCTTTATTTGCTGGATAGATTTATTTATTATTCCTGTTCTGGAAGCTGTGTTTGATTTCAGCAGTGATGAACTCATTCCAGGTTACCTTGCYTGTCTTATTGATAGAGGCAGAAAAGAAATTATCAAAATATCTGGGTTACAGAGGAAAAWGCACAGAAAGAAAAATGAATTAAATTCCAAGCAAGATCCACAACTAAATTTTAGTAAATTCTAATGATATCACAAAGGGTCTTAAAATTTCAGCAGTGCTCAAAGGTGGTTTCCAGCTCTTGTGTACACCATTGTGTTTTGTGCAGCAGTGTGGTGGTGGGAGGGGGTTCCTATCTGGGAGCAGATGCTTCCTCTTACTCTGCACCTGAGAGGGCTACATTTCCTCTTCATTTGTAGGGGAAAAACAAAAAACAAAAAA